CATTTCTAAAATGGGGCCTATGCTATAGTGTACATAAGATTTAAGGCTCTCTGCAGTGTGCGATATGAATCAAGATATATATGCCAAATAAATTTTTATTAAAATCCTTAGTTTCTTTGGTTTGTTGGCGGTACTGAAATTTGGCAAATTACTTCGTAATTGATCCACAGCCTTATTTTGGCTCCTCCTCTCCCTCCGTTCGCATGATTGCAGGGTAAGTGCTCAACCTGATGCCCAACAGCCCAGTGCGGGAGATGGGGATAGCCACCCCCTCCCCCCAGGTGCTTGGGGCAGTGGAAGATGGAAAACAGATGGAGGTGCCGGGTATTTTCAGGACATTCTGGGCTGACAACTAACACGCCATGGTTGGATGAAACCTGCATTTGTTAATTAGGGTGGGTTTTTCAAAATGGTGCCCAGTCAAATGTCTAAAGCCAAAGGCTGTACCTTCCCACCATTCCAGATGGATCTGAAGGAGCAAAACCTGGGGAAACCAGTTGCTGCCTTATATTTGAGGACCCGGATTGTTGTTGGGGGCGATATATGCTGACTCTGTAAACCGCTTAGAGAGGGCTGAAAGCCCTAGGAAGCGCTATATAAGTCTAACTATTGCTATTAAACTTAAACGAAGGACATTTTGCGCGCGCCTTGAGCTCCTTCTGCTAAAGGCCCTTCCTGCAAAAGGGGAACCTTAGAAGGTCCTCCAGCATCTCCGGGGCTTCGCTGAAGGGCTGAGAAAGCCCCGTTCCTCCCTCCATAAACTGCGCTGTTAGGAGTTCGCGGCCAGGAAGCCCCCCTCCCCGTCTCTCTCCCGCCCACCCTTTTTTCTTTTTTTCCTTGGGCAAATCAGACTCTCGGGCTCCAAGCAATTGCCGGGGGTGGTGACCGGGCTCTTCGGAGAATTGCCATTGGCTCCTCCGGGGTGGGGGGAAACCCAGGAGGTCTCCCCCCCCCTCTTTAAACCCGCGGGGGTCCGGCTGGAAGCCCAGTGAAGCAAAGAGGATGAGTCCGGCCGCTTTCCAACTCTGGAGGGATTATTTCCAGCTGGCCAAGTTGGTGGAAGGGATGAGCCGAGACGGACCCTCCGAAGGAGAAGAAGAAGAGCCCGCACCCCAGGCGCCGGAGTTGCAGCCGGAGCAGCAACTTTTAGCGCGGCGGAGGCTGCGGAGGCGGCAGCAGCAGCTGGACGAGCCTCCCTCGGCGGCGCGTGGATGGGACGAGCCCGGCTGCTCTTTCTGCAAGCAGAACGGGGAGTCGCGCTCCATCTACACCTCGCATTGCTTGAAGGACGAAGCCGGCTTGGTGCAATGCCCGATCTTGAGAAGATACCAATGTCCTCAATGCGGAGCGTCGGGGGATTTGGCGCACACCCGGAGGTTCTGCCCTTTAACCAAGCAGGGCTACACGTCTGTCTACACCAGCTGCACCAGGAACTCGGCTGGGAAGCGGAAAAAAAAGGCAAGTCTTTTTATATATATGTTTTTAAAAAATCCTTTCCCTCCATCCCAGATTTGAAAGCCACCGAAATGGATCGGAAGCGGCTCTTAATCGGTGAGTACCGGCGGTTGGTTGTGGCTACCCAAAGGAGTTAGATACAACGGTCAAATCCTCCGGGATTGGGCAGCCTATAAATAAAATAACTAAAATAAAATAAACTAAAATTAAACTTGAAACTTGACTCCCCCCCCCCCCCTATATAGCAGTGACAACCCTTAAAAGTTGTTTTTGGCGTCCAGTGGAGTTGGGATTTTTTCCTTTCTTAATCTAAATCAGTGTTTCTCAACCTTAGCCACTTGAAGATGTCCGGACTTCAACTCCCAGAATTCCCCAGCCAGC